CTCTTTCTAAAAAGATATTTTTTTTTTAAATATATGATGGACTTGCCTGTGGAGTTCCCAGCAAGGCAGAGTATCCAGGCTCTGCAGCAGCATTGCAGCCAAAGTAACCATGCATATGCTATCTAGGCAATTTACAGCAGTCTTTTTGAAAAGATAATGATTTACAATGTAGCGCTGCTTCAACCCAATACAGAACTTGCAGCCAAAATACCTAATGGTGATTTCACAAGAATTAAGGAAAAAAACCTCAACATTCAATCAGAAGGATGCAACTAATCATCCCCAAGTCAATTGTGTCCCAGAACTGAAGGAAACCAGCAAGCTCTTGACTAACAAATGATATTAAAGCCATAACTGAAGGGCATCTGGAAATAAGCACTATGCATGCCACTGTCCACTTTTACAGAAACAATAAATACGAAAAAGCATTTTAAACTGTATTGAGGCAAAACATGAACTCTGAAGTTAATTCTAGCATTGTCAGGATGAAACACAGTATTTAATTTATGAAGATATAAAGTATGCAAAGCTGTGAGTAAGTGACAGACACCTACTCCATGCTGGGAAGCCACTGCTCAGCCCAAGCAAGTTTGGGTGTGGTACGAGGGAAGCGGGAAGCGAGGGCAGCAGAAGCAAACCCTCAAGGAGGGTTTCTCCAAAAGGCAGGCACCAAATCTTCTTCGTCTCCTACTCCTACAGCAGCCCCTGCTGGCCTGTGCTTCAGATGGCTCCTGGCTCCCCAGAAACCTCCTGGGGTTGGGGGAGTGCTGGACAGACAACACTAGGACAGGGAACAGTAATGTATCCACAAGTGAAACCTTCAGGTGAGAAAGAACGCAGCTCAACTGAGATGACCTCCTAAACATTCAGAAATATTTTTCATTTTTATGTGATGAGGAGATGCCATGAACCAACACACAAAACAGAGCCCTGGCTCATGCCCTGGGCAGCTCCAGTGACCCACGTCACCAGACCATAGGAAGCAGGCTCCCCTATAGACTCCCACTTTGAAGAAAGCATGGTTTGCTTGAACTCCACACATTTGCTCGAGTCCCACCACAGTCACCCAAGACTGAATCACATGCTTAAATACTTCTCGTCTCAAGGCTGACAGCTGACTCTAGCATCAGTGGCTTCAGTGACAATAAAACTTGAATGGCATAAGGTGCTTGGTGCTCCCAGAATTAAGTAGCACCTATTATTTCCCCCCTCATCCATTTCCCAATTTTAGTCACAGGGGCATATTCCAGAAAATTACTCATTTTCTTAGCTTGGTTCTTACGCACACAGAAGGCTTCACTCCTCCCGACAAAAGACAAGTACCACTCTCTAGGCAGAAATTTTCTTCTTGGGTGTCTCAAGTGTGGGGGTCCAAAGAAAACATGAAAGAGAGCTCGCAGCTGAAATTATGAGAAATTACATTCAAAGCATTTACATTTCTTGTCCTTATTCTGTCAACATCAAATTGGTCTGAGGATCACGGATGAGAAGATATAAGGATCCTCAGAAAAAAAATAAGCTAGTGAGTAAGCACCTGCAGAAACCAATATATGCCAAAAGACAGGCACCACGTTAAGGGAAAATTTGTGGAGAGCCAGAGGGAAATGGAATTTAGAAGGAAAGACAGAGAAACAGGGCGCTGCTTTCCAGAGGCAAGAAAGGTGTTGGGCCAAGGCACGGAGACAGAAAGCAAGCCAAACAGTCCACAAAGTAATGAGATCTAACTCAAAGAAGTCAAACCCTCCCGTATTTAAAAGTTATTTTTATTGCATTAAAAACATCTGCATTTATTGCATGAAAGCCCTTCCTGTTGCCTTTGACATCCCTCTCCAGATTTAATTCCAGCTCGGGTTTGGCTTTTCAAACTGCATATCTCCATGCTTAGACAATGTCTCTGCATTCCTCCCCAATTACCTGTCCCTGCTTCCACCCTCTGTATTTTTCACATTTGAGTTTTGTTAGGATCTCCTCGTTCATCCATGCAGGCCTCTCAGCATTTTTGCCTGACTCCCTACTATTCTTATTCCCCTCCGTCCCCTGTGCTAGCCCCATCCCTTCCCACGTTCCCAACCCCATGCAGAATGTGGTTGAACACAACTTGGCTGGAACACAAATACGTGCTCTGCTGCTGCCTGTGGTACCACAAACAGGATTGGGAAACCTGGCTGGCAGGCAAAGGCAGTCTAGAATTACAGCTGGCATTGATGGACCACAGAGAGCACCACGGGACCGGTCTGTTTTCCAAAGGGGTGGGAGAGTAACTGAACTAAAAAAAAAAAAAAAAAAAGAAAAAAGAAGTTTCAATACAATACACACGCACAAAAAAAAAGTCAAGCACCCATGGGTTTACATTTTAAAACTCCGCATGGAAACCAGCTGCAAGTACAATCCTCACATTATCAGCATCATTATTATACTCAAAGTCATGCCACTGCTTTCATCCCAGGGCAGACTCAAAAATGCTCTGTGGCACTTGAGAACAATTTCTCACATATAAGGAGGGATCTTTGGAGCTTTTAAAGATAATAGACACACCGTCATCTGCAAATTGCTATACTGAAAACAGAGAGACTACTCAATGTCACAGCTCTGACAGTCAATTATCTAAACATGCAAATGGCCATTTATTAATGCAGCATAGTGAAAAGAATGCCAGTAGTTACCTTGTGTTTTGTGTGGTCATACTACATACTGTCCAAATGGAACTTGGAAGTAATGTTTTATTTCCATTACTCTATATTAAATCTTCCAAGAGAGAGGAGACGAGAGAGGAAGAAAGGGAGAAAGGCAGTGAACTGTTCCCCCCTCTCCACGAAGTAATAACCATATGCAGTAATTTGTACAAGTATCATACGTCCGTATGAGCCCATTTTCTCTTCATAAAAGAAACCGCTCAACTAAGGAGAGCTGCTGCTCCTGAACACATACCTTTCTGTTTTGACAACTGTGGATTGAATATACAAGGAAAAAGCAAACACACTTCACAGTTTTGAAAATTTACTCACTTGTGAAAGTCATTTGGACATCTAACCAGCCATTTCATAAGCCACTGACACTATTTCACAAAAACTGACTTAACAAGATGCTTAATAAGCTGTGTTCCGAAACAGAGGGCTGGATGGGACAACAGCTGTCCAAGTCCAGTTCAGCTCAGGCACCCCCAAAATATGACCCCTTCCCTGAGCTGGTAAGTTTGGAGTTAGTTTAAAGTAAGAAGACATAGAGTACAGAAACATGATCTTAATAAAACAAGCCAGCAGTGACAAAAATGTGTTGAATGCAAAGAAAATAATTTCTATCTTAAGATGACAAGCAATGCAGTGGATAATATTGCACAATGGAACATGTGACAAGTTATTCCAAGTACAAAATGCTGCTAAACTTGCTTCCAATACCAATATTGAACTATACCATCTGCATTATCTGGTATGGTGGGACTTCACTTAGAAAGTCACTGTCTAAAATAAAATGCAATATAACACAGTGCCAATTATTTTTAAGACCAAAAAAGAGATTTTACAGTTTTAGGGACTGATTCCAAATATACCTTGCATTATAAAGAATGTTTAAAGTGCAAGTTCAAAGGGAACAACACCATGGAGAACACTGCGTAATGATTTCACACATCTGAACAATATTTCACATCAGTCCAGATACATTTTCAACTCAGTGAAAGAAGGTCTTTGCACACAAAAGGTTAATCCAATGATTTTGGACAATTATACTCTTTCTATGCAATAGGAAAACCTACCTCAGACATTCCTAGCAAAGCTACATCTTCCTGTGAACACTAACAGAGTTACACTAAGATTGCTTGCTTTATTATTGATGCTTCTCTGTTCCTTGCTATGGGAGCACAGATCTCATATAAATAAAATAATCCAGGCTAAAGCACATTGGTGCGATGTATCTATGATAAGAACCTGAATTTCATCTATTAACTTCTTTTTTTTTTCAAGCTCTTAGTTAAAAGTATTCTACAAATACTACTCTAAAGAATTCTGTTAGCCTTTAATTATTAGCCAAAAAGTTCTTAAAGAGAAGAAACACAAAGGCCTGAGGCAGTCAGATCTGCAGCATGATCAAGAGTTAATATACACAGATACCAGATGCAGAGCTTAGTCAAGGTATGGAATTTGATAGTTATTCTGCTTCTAAGAAGACAGCAGATCTGTGGGCTTTTCCACTGGGGGTGGGCACCTAGTTAGATGCAAAACAGGACTCCAATATAGCTGACCCTGCAATAATAAAGCATGCCTTGCTGTATAAAAATCAACAAACATTCTTCTCCCAGCCATGTCTCGCTCATACTTGCAAAACCAAACTCAACTATTAGGCACACAGAGAATTCTATCTCAGATAGTACTGTGTTCAAGCCTTTATAAATATTAAAATTACTCTGTGAAAAATGCCTGTCTAGAAAGAGTATGAAGCCTATCCCAAGTGTCAGGTAAAATAATCTGCATCTTGTTTGTTTAAATTCCTCATCCCCAACTGAAAGACAGTAAGTGATAGCAGTCATTTATCATACAGTTACGTGTGCTGTCAACAGTAGCAACACTTCACTACAGAAATTGAGGTATCGTCACAATACATTAATATAATTCTAGACGAAAAATGCACCATAACTCCTAAGACTAACCTCATGCTCTGATGCTAAGTCTTAATGTTACAAATATATCGTGTACAAAGCACCACAACTTAGACTCCTCAGGAAAAAAACAAAAACAAAAACAAAACCAAAAACAAAAACAAACAACTATGTTTAAATCAAAATCTCAGTCAATAATTTTTTCAAAAAAACCCATGAAACACTCAAGCAGTATAAAATTCAAAGTATTCACTTTGTCTGGAAGACGATAACAATCAGTAAAATGGCTTAGTGGAGTAGCTTTAATTAAACTAACCCATCTACTATGACATACAATTCCTAAAACCACACAGCTGACTTCTCATATTTACAGTAACAACAATAAAAAAATAATCTAGCTAATCAGGAAAGGGTAGCAGTATTTCAAGGACACAAATCTGAATTATGATCACTAGCGACACAGTTTACAAAGTTTTTCTTTAGAGAGAGTTATAAAGAATTAACAATAGCTTTTTAATATCTAC